TGTTATACACTCAGCTTCATATGCTTTGCTTGTGATTATACTTCTGCTCCAGCCTTGAGATACCCAGATATAATCAATTTTCGTTTCACTACCTCTGCCTGCCCAAGTTGTTATGTGTTCCTGGGGGTTTACTATCTTGAGTGTATCAATCAGATTTTTCTTTTCTATAAGATCTATAATTTGTTTTTTCTTGTTTTTTGGTGTTCATGATAGTGCTTTTCCTTTTCCCTTTATTTGGTTTTCTTCTAGTTGGAAGTTGATATTGCTTCAGCACAATGCTTGTAATATTTTGCACCATCTATATAGATAATATACAGTCTATAGTTATATAAAAGAATTTCACAAAGTTTTTTAAAAATTTTTTCAAATATCTTTGCACTAAAGTTTCTGTAGTAATCAACTTTATCAAATACAATACTAGCCACTTTTACTATATCTAAAACAGTTGTCTATAAATTTTTACAATTTTTTCTTTTACTTTTTCCACTTGCTAGCTTTGCTGTTGGATTTCAGATAAGTAGAGATTTATAAACCAATTCCCTTTTTACTTGATTAGTGTTTTTATTTTAAAAAACAACAATGGCCCCAAAAATTACAAGCATAGTCCCTTTTACTCTTTTATAAACAATACTATTCTTAAAAACCTAGGTTAAATTCTAGTTATGATATGTATAACAGTAAAACTTATCAAGAAATACTTTAAGAATAGTTAGCATATTATTTTGACCTTGTATATTTATAAATTGCCAATGAATAAATAGATAACTCTCTAGTTGAGTTGCAGGTATGACAGCTAGTATAGAACCTAGGGCGAACTACTTAAATTAGACAATCAAAAGTTGTACGAGTGGCTAGTCATTCTCTCGTTAATAACCATGGGTTTAAATAGATAATCTCCTAGTTAGGTTACAGGTATGGCAGCTAGTGTAGAACCCCGGGCGGACTACTTAAATTAGATAACCAAAAGTTGTATGTGTGGCTAGTTGTACCCTCATTGTAACTGAAACTTAACTTCTAATAAAAAGTTATAGCCAAAGAGGTCACCTTAATACCGAAAAAAAATAATTCTAAAAAATATAAAAAAATTTTTTGATAAAAATATGATCTTATAAAAAGTTTTTTTTTGGTAATTTTACTATATATTTTGTTAATTTCAAGGTCTAATATAAATACTATCTTTAACTTTAACAAACTTTTTATAAATTTTATCTTCATCATATGATCACAACTTTAGCAATATAGTACTTAAAGATTTTTAATTGGCTATTTGTTACATAATTTATATATTATACAATATCAAATATCTAATACTTTTTGGTCTAATAGATTAAACTAGACTGGATATAGACTGGATATTAAATATATTTAATATTCAACCCAATACTAGTTTGCAATATGTAACATATTTTTGAATTCTAGATTTAAGAGTATTATATATAATAAGAAAAATATGAAACATCATATCGAAAAGTATCGTGTATATATTTGCCTTTTTTTTTTATTTTTTTTATTGTAAAATATTTTAAACAATACTAATATTTTAATAAATATTGATTGATTTTAATAATGGTAGTCTATTATATAATTTGTTTAAAATAATTATAAACAAATTAGAAGTTCAGCACTTCTCTAATTCTTAACAAAATATCCTGAAATCTAAATCTAGAGAATCAAGAACTTCTTTGCAAAGTAGTAGTTTGATAGCTCTTTTTTCTTAAGAAAATATAGATAATTTGTTTGGGCTTAATTATAATAATTAGTTATATTTGTTATATATAATTTAGTGATGTATAATTTTTATATTTTAATTAATAAAATTTGATTGCATTTGTTTGTATTTTAAAAAAGTAATATTTGATATTTACTAAATATTAACAATAAGTATACTATATAATAGTTTTATATTGGTACAATTAAAAAAATTAATTAGAACAAATTATATATTATAAATTGATACTATTTGAAATTTTTTAATCTGATATATATTGATTAATAGCAATTACTATCTTAATTGATAGACCTCAATAGTGGAGATTTAAAATAATTACTATTCAATAACTGATTAAAATCAATAGTAATTCTCTTGCAAATTTTGGTAATAGTTGATATTTAATATAGGTGAAAATATAAAAGTATTATAAGATTATTATATATAAAAATAGCTATTTGAACTAATTTAACCAAATTTATAAATAGTTAGAGTTAGGGTAAGGTATAGTTTAAATAATAGTTAGATTAGAGTTAGAGTTAGTATTTTTTTTATATTAAATAATCTTATCCCTTAAACCGTATTCCAGGCAAATTTGCCTGGAATTTTGAAAGTATTTATAATTTTTTAAATAAAATTAAAAATTATTAATAATATGGGGTATATTTTATATATATAATATTTTAT